TATATATATATATATATATATATATATATATATATATATATATATATATATATATATATATATATATATATATATATATATATATATATATATATATATATATATATATATATATATATATATATATATATATATATATATATATATATATACATATATATACATATATATATATATATATATATATATATATATATACATATATATACATATATATACATATATATAAGTTGGATTCTTTACGTGGTCCCTTGACATTCAAATCAGATACCAAAATGGAATAGGAAAAAAGTGAGAATAGAAAGAGTTCAACCTCTATAACCATGACCTAGTATGTCTTTTATATCATATTCCCTTACAATAAATAGGTGAACATTAACCGGGTTGGAGATTATGGGTTTATCTTGTTTCGCTAACTTGCATGTCACTCGTTAAGTATTAATTGGAGGTGAATATTTCTTTGATCATTTGTCCTCTCTCGAAGATGTGTTTTAGAGACTAGCTCAACACGTTGGCCACTATGTTAATCAATCCATCATGCTTGGTCCATCAAAAGGATTGTTGAGCTATATCAAGAGGCTTATCAGGCAATTCTTGATGCTTAGCCCAAGCAAGATGCATCGGGTGGTCCTTGATACTTAGCTCAAGAAGGACGCATCGAATGATCTTCAATGTTCTAGCCTAAGAAAGATATATTGAGTGACTTTCAATGCTTAGCTCGAGGAGGGTACATTAAACAATCTTTGATAGTTAACTCGAAGAGAGCACATCAAACAACCTTCAATGCTTAGTCTGAGAATGGTGTGTTGAGCAATTTTTAATGCTTAGCATCATATAATCTTCGATGCTTAGCCCTAGAAGAATGTATTAGATAATCTTCAATACTTAGTTGGAGAATGATGCATATGACAATCTTCGATGCTTGTGCCGAGCAACCTTCATTGCTTAGCATAAGAAATTAAGCAACCTTCAATGTTTATTCAAAGAAAAAACACGTCAAGCAATCTTTGATATTTAGCTGACACATCAAATACTATTTGATGTTAACCAAGTAGAGAAGAGCACATCGAACAATTTTTATTACTTAGTCTAAGAAAAGTGCATTCAAGCAATCTTCGATGCTTATTCGATGCTTAGTGCGAGATGAACGTCAAACAATCTTTAATACTTGGTCAACACATCCAGAAACCTTCAATGCTTAGTCCAAGAAAAATATATCCAATAGCTTTTAATGCTTAGTTGAAGAAGGATGTATCAAGCAAGCAATATTTGATGTTTAGTCTAAAAAAAGTGACTCAGAAATATCTTCCAAAGGCATGAAAATATATCCCATCATTTTCTAGGCAGATTTTGTGAGACAACGAGGCCGACATATAATGATGCCCATTAGGATTAATCCACCTCCATTTTCTCATGTAGCAGTTTCCATCTTCCAAAACTTTTCCATGTGCGCACCATGTCATGTTTTAGGAACCATCTTTTCTTTTCCTATAGGAAAATTGTTCTTCGGCTTCCGGCAATCCAATGAAAAACCTTCGACAATGAGTTCCATCCAATAGCATGAAGGTGTAGTGCCCCTCCACGACTGTCAAAGAGAGCAGTTGTTGAGACATCTTTTGTTGCATTAGCACATAAATAAATGCCATTTGGATCCATCAAACATGGCCCCATCTTGATTAGTATACAGATGGCAGAACAAAAGGGCACAAAACTGTAGCTAAAAATAACTACTGATAGCTGAGAAGTCAAAAGCATGTTAGCAGCTGTAGAATTGACTTCATTTTGGTGGACACTAACCAAAATATATGCTGGTGGTGAGATAAGAAGTCAATACTCGTGTAAAGGCCGGCCTGCCTATGGACTGCTTTCTCTCTTGTCATAGACAAAGACATCATCACATCTTTAGCAGAGAGAAAGACAAACCTTTGTGCATTGGGGGTGGAAAGTTGGTCATTTAGCACCATCGGAAAGCACATAACAGATAACCAAAATAGTATTCACAAGAAATTGGTGTCTTGAAGCAAAACATTGGACTTCAACATATCATTATTGCTACCTGAGAAAAATTGACACAAATGTGATAAAAAATTCCATGCATGATACAACGGATGAGCAGAAGGATTTTGGGCGCAGGCATCAAACCGTACGTCCATATTCCGTCACTGCCACTCAGCTCAGCACACAATCAAAAAGCCAAAGGAAAAAAAACACACACACACACACAGAAAGTAACCACAAGTGAAAAATGATCTGCCAAAAGGATGACCGACTTCATCGTGAATTGCATCACTAGCAACTTCCAATTTTACTGGGAAAAAACAGATTCTAAATGCAAATTCGGGGAACAGAATTCTCCTCCACCATTGCTTAGAAATGAAAAAGGTAAAATGTACATTCTCACACATCAGTTTTTTTTTAGGTAAAAGGTCCCCTTCCATATATATAAATGCACTCCAAGATGGATGTAGAAACATGTAGAAGTGAGACGTGCACAATGCGCTTTACTGGGGGAATCTAATCCTGACCCAAGAGAAAACCCTCTCGAGCATCAGTCATCCAACTACTTGAATAGAAGTTCTTCGTACATCAGTTGGGATGAAACTTTTGAGTGAGCATTGGCAATGTGGCCTTATTACCAGGCCAGTGTAATAAAAGATGTTGCATGAAACTCCTTCAAAATTTCAGTTATTGACAACTTGAGAAGTGTGGGCTGACTCCAGAAGCTTCAACTCTTAGGTTTTTTTGGCAGAGGTGGACCCATGCTGCCTATTTCAGGTTTCCGTTTAATTCCCAGAAAATGTTCAACCTGCACATAATTCAACATTAGACTTCTCCCCTGGACCTTTAAATTACGACCCAGAAATCTAAGGGCATCACATATGCTGCAGAAGTCAACCTAAGGCAGTGAGCATCAACCTGAATTTCAGAAAATAAAGAAAAGCAAGCAAATGAAGTTGAAAAAAAAAAATTCTTGCAAAGTATAATATTCGGCTAGGAAAGCTATTTAAATCAAATTCATTGAAACTGTACAAAAATACCCTTAAACGACAATGGCTAATGCTAAATGCCATTTTTTGGAAAAATACCTTTTTGTCCCCAAGCATGGGTGTCAGGCTTCCCAAATGATCTTTCTCAACAGTAGCGAAACCACTTCTGGGATCACTAGTTTGCCTACATTTCCAGAAAAAAAAGACATGACATCAGTGACAAGCAATGATCTTAGAAATAATTTTCTGAAAGAAGAAGATAACACCACAATCAAATTTTGACAGTTGTCTAAACACATGATAAGATTTTGTGCAGATAGTTAATATCCAACAGATGATTAAGTACTCTGTCACTAGACACATACAAATCCTTGTAAGCAAGGAAGTTGTTTTCAGGACTCGAACAATGGTCATCAAGATCGCAAAAGACCAACCTTATCATAACACCATGACCCAACCTCTTGCCCTGATATAATAAGCTTTTATTTCTATTGTCCATGCCACAGGGATTCTTAAAATAAAATAGCACAATTATAAATCATCTTCAAACATCAAAATGGAAAACTGCTACTTCTCACACCACAAAAGCTTGATAAAAAACATATCGCAAAACAAAAACTAAATGAGCTAATGATAATTAAAGAATCAACCTCTCAGATATAGAGAAACATTAGTTAAATCACAAAACGAAAAAACTGCAATCTGAACCATACTAATAAATTAGAAACCTATAAAATATGGTTGAAGCAATTTTCACCATTTATCTGAAAGTACATGTCAATCCCACATTATCGTAGTTAGACACAAAATTGTCGATATTTTGTCATGAAATTGAGCAAAAAAAAAGAACCATAATCCATTAGGAAAAGTGAAAATAGATTTATCACTTCTATGTGATTGAACTTTCAAAAATCTTATCCAGATAGACAGGATTTGGTCATCATATGTCGCAATAAGATGGAGAAAACTCAAGATTCGACACACAGAGCAACCAAAAAAAATTTCTAGTGTTGATCTATTAATAAAAGAACAGGTTTTAAAACATAGTTGACATTGTTGTAGAGTCAGGGCAGTGAACATTGATAGTAATGTAGAATATTACACAAACTAAAGCAGTATACAACAGTCAACAGTAGTGCCAAGAGCATCTAAAAAATTTTGCAAAAACAGGTAGAAATTGTGGAAAGAAGGAAAAAGGTAGCAATAAGAGAAGACTGACAAGCATACCCTGGTTTAACATGCCCACTTAGCACCAGATAAGGCGTCTTAAGTTGAGCTTGAGCTTCCCTCATTTTTTCCACTGCTAGCAATGGGGTGTCAGAAGCTTTCATTTGCTTTGTCTTCAAATCCTCCTGATATTGCTTCATCCGCTTCTCCTGCTTCATTTTTCCTGGTCCTTTACCATGAAATTTATGTGACAGCATCCGAAATGCCTCCTTGGGTGTCATCTGCATAAAAATAGAAACAAACATACCTTTACTATCTAGTCATTAGAAAATGGATGTTGACAAAACTGGACATGAAAGGATTTAACAGATACCCATACGAACACTATACTGAAACATAACTGATATAAACAAAAGATTCTACTTCATACATTTGAAATAACTCTTCGCTAGTAACCTTCTAGAACAGTGAGATGAATGACATATAAGCACATCAGAAACTAAGAAACTTCTTGCTATTTGCTTACATGTAACTAGCTGATTATGATAGATGTTAATTTATAACATAGAAATTAGAGACTCATAAGGATGATTAAAAAGCAAATAACTCTAGAAGTTATGTAAGGATACACTTACAATGCGACCAAACTCATCAGTCCTCTCAATTCGTATTTCTTTTGTCCCTCCATCATCATAAAGACCAACAAGTTTGCTTTTCTTTTTGTCCATAGTTCTGCCACCCCAATCTACTGTCTCCTTAAGTGCACCACGTTCCTTAAGTAACTTAAGTGCACCTGATAATCCTTTTCCTACAGCAACCTCGTGGATGATCTCATCTGGAGAAACATCATCCTTTTTCTCACTGATGGGATCTTCAGATTTACTGGTTTCTTCCACCTCTGTCCATCCAGTGACATCAACTTTTATTTCTGGTTCAAGGGATTTAGGAGAATCCTCTTCATCCATAAAAACATCTTCTGATTCAGGTTTTTGGGCACCTAAAATATGTAAAACAACATGTGAAAAACAATTAAAAGAGAACATAGATAAACAGGAACAAAAAGATCAGTGGGGATTCAAGATACAGTCATAACTTTGTGGTTTACATTTTAGCAAAAGTGCAAATTCCTTCGACATGTTTACTTCTCCTACAAGTTGCCTTTTTAAGCTGATAAAAACCAAAAGATAAATTAGGATAGCTAATACCACCTTCATTAAGTTGAAGACCTAGTACAAACTCCTCAACTTCTGTAATGACAACTTTTTCTTCTTGTAGCTCTCCTGTAGACTGGCTCTGAGAATTTTCTTGTTCTTTAATAGATGTGGCTAAAAGAGCAACTGCCTGAGGACCAGTAGCACCTGCTTCATCATGTTTTCTAAGAGCAAGTTTTCTTGCCTGCTCAAGGGACATCTGTAGATCTTCATAATCTTCACCGAAAACGATATCATCGTCCTCAAAAGACTTCAATCTTAAAGTTTGCTCCTGAAGCATAACTTTAGATGCCTCTTCTGCTTTTTCATATGCTGTTTGGTATGCTTTGCTTCTCCTTTCAGCCTCAATTTTCTCCTGTTCTTCTCTTTCAATCTGCCTTCTCATGTCATTCCTGGAACCAAGATCACTAGCTCCTAATCCAGCAGATCTGGCCTCTGCTTCCATGGCATCCAGATCCAACTTTTCTTTCTTTCTCAAAGATTTCTTTTTCTTTGGCTTCTTGAACCGAAGCATTTCCTCAGCAGTGTAATAATCTGATGAGTTTTTTGCTGAAGAAGTCAGATCTTCATAACTTTTTGGTACAAAACTACCCTCAATCCTTCTGCGCAGCTGAAAATATTAAATAGTTAATCACAAGAATGAAGCTTGTCATATAGGATAACCCACTAGAAAAATATAGCAGAATGGCAAGTGAGTCCATGTATTTTACACAAGACTAACTGTCTACGTAAACCTAAGGATGGGTAAATACATGCCATACTAATAAAAGTTCGAAGAAAATTTTTGGAGAAAAGCAAGGGTGAAAAAGAAACTTCTGCTAAATTAACAATCTTAAAGGTAGCAACAAGATTAGGCAGAAGTTGCACACCTCTTCAAGTTTCTTCTCTGCTTCACCAGTAAAATGCCCACTTTCATCCAATGCTACTCCCTGAAAATAAAGGAAGGAAAACAATAATAACATAATAATCAATGAAACAGACCAACATATGGCATGCATCAACTCTACAACAGATACCTCATCTTCAACAGGATCATCATATTGCGGAAGAATTGTCTTCTGAGATCCCGTTTCATCATTAAACCTACAAACACAAAGAACAAGATGAGAATCAGAGACTTGTGTTCCAAAATAAAAAGTGTTCCAAGAGATTTACTTATCGTCATATAATCCAGTTCTCTTTTTAGCAGCCTTGTAGGCCTCATCTCTCTGTTTCTGCTCCCCAATCTCCACATTTTCAAGCATATCAATCTCTATAGAATAAAAGGCTTAATTAGCTCCGAGTACAAGGTAAGAAAAAATAAAAAAGAGTTATGCCTGCCAACAAGTAATCATTTACCCTCATTGATATCACCATCCTTAAGAATATCTTGATCTTTGAGGGTCAGAACAACTGCCCCACCCTCAATTACTTTATCAAGTCCATGAAGAATTTTAACTCCTGCTAGATCCTCTATTTACACACAATAATTCAGTCAGTAAAAAAGCAATTCTGAACAAAAATTCGATCTGGTTAATTATTGTACTGTCATCTAGTTTATTAGAAAAAGATAGCTTGAATACAAAAGCAGCTAATGCTGTCAACTAAACAGCAAAATCTTGTCAGAGGTAGAAATAGTACTCTGTGTGTGTCCAACTGTTTCATCGTCACCATCTGCTAGCATATTATCCTGAGAGAGAGAGCAGTAAAGCAAAAATTTTATCACAAGTTTCCAAAAGGAGCATTGTGAGAATACTCGAGTATATAGATTTTAACCTGCTCCTCAAAAGCTTTTGAAAGACGCAAAGCTTCCTTTTCAGCATTTTTTCTCTCCTCAAGCCTCCTACTCTTATTAACCCATGATGATATCTCAAAAGCACCATCAGATTTTTTCTTCATTCTTTCTTCTTTTGTCCTGAATGGACAATACCGATATCAGAATATGTATATAAAATTTCAGAGGATAGTTCAGATCAAACAAGCATAAATATTGAACACTAACGGTTAGCAAGAAAAAGTTGTATTGCTTAGAAGTATGTAGGGCTGACAAAAATGAAATAATCAGAAATTTAACTAAAAAGGCATATTTAAGAAATTATGACAATATCTAATCCCCAATAATATAGATATTGATTTTAACAACTAATTTTATAAACAAAAAAAAAACTCAATGTTCACTTAGCCTAATCAATCTGTGATACAGGAATAATAGCTTGCCCAATTTTTGGATCAAGACACCAATGAGGAAGAGAGAGATGTTAAATATGTTGGACTTGTATGCATAGCAGCATACCAACTGAATTCTCAGATGCTGAAACCAAGGAGTGCTGTATCATGTACCCGACCAGTACCAGTCAGTACCAGTGTACAGACACATGGTGCACCAGTACACACCAATGTTTCGCAGACGAATAAGGGAAGGAGAAAAGGATGGCATAGTGGAGAAGCAGCAAGAAAAAGGAATATGAAGGAAGAAGATAAGGCTGTGGAGGAAGAGGAAGAAAGGAAGAAAGCGAGGCAGTAGAAGAAGAAGAGAAAGAAAAAGAAGAAGATAAAGCGGTGAAAGGGAAGAAAAGAAGAAGAGGAGTAGGAGAAGAAATGGGAGTGAACCATATCAGTCGATGACCTCGAATGATAGTCTTGACAGCAACGGCTTCTCGAGAAGAAGCCTCGCATTCACGAGCCCTCATTACTATTTTAGGTTTTTGTTTTCATTTTAATACCGGATTGAATGGCCCCAGTGTTGTTTTAGGTTTCTTTTATATTTTTCACTTCAGATAAAACAAGCATAAATATTGAACATATAAAGGTAAGCAAAACAAATTGTATCATCTAGAAGCATCTAGGGCTGATGAGAATGAAATAATTAGAAATTTGACATAAAAGATATATTTAAGAAATTATGATAATGTCTAATCATCAATAGAATAGATATTGATTTAAAAAAACTAATTTTATAAACAAAAAACAAACTCAATGTTCATATAGTCCTAATTAATCTGTGACACAGGAATAATAGTTTGCCCAATTTTTGGATCAAGACACCGATGAGGATGAGATATATATTAAACATGTTGGACCTGTATGCATGTCACCATACCTGAATTCTTAGATGATGAAACCCAATAAAGAATTAAACAAGGCAAGAAACAAGAAGCTCGCAAGTCAGTCAAGCAGTTAGTGCTCGAATAATGCTACAAGTTTCTCCCCTTCATCTGCCTCAAATCCCGATGCTTGATTTATGCATCAAAATATGATTCGTTGAGTTCAGTCTTAAGTTCCTTTCTTATCTCAGTATGTCATACCTCAGACATCACAAACCTCCCCCCATCCTATGGGCCATGGGATGGTAGCAAGGAGTAACTGAAAGCAGCCGTAAGCTGAGACTGTTGTTTATTTCCCTGGTCAACAAAATATATCCTCCCTTGCTTGCTCGATGTCTGAGGGAAGGCACCGCCACAAGGAGTGACTTTCTGAGTCGGTGTTCCATCCCTTTAGAGTGTAACTCCTTTCCTAAATGTTCCATAGTAGGGACTCTTTGGACTTCATTGTCTACAGATCATAGTTCACTCACGTCCTAGATCCTACTCTTGAGTTTTATTCATATCATACAGCCCGGACTTTGCACATGAGCTAGGAGGGCATGGCTAAAATCTTGATCTTTGTCTTTTTCCGGTAGATAGAGTTGATCTTAGGCTTTCACATATGAGCTAGGGCGATGTAGATTTCCTCGATCAAAGACTTGACTGAGGGAAATGGAATAAGCTACCCTGTAGTAGATAGATCGATTGAATGCTTTTGGTCAAGTTTTCAGTCTGGAGATAGAGTGATGCCTGGCATAAGTAATCTATTGGAGCAAAGGCAAGTCCATCCCCTACTTGACCTTCTTTCTCCTGTTGTATGAATGTCTCTTGTCCTCCCCAAATCCCTTCTTTTGATCTGATACAATAATTGACCCCTGAAATTGATAGGTCTAAAACCTCATGAAATTTATAATAGTAATTCCTTGCCCTATAAACTAACATAAATCTTCTCCCACATCTAATGTAGGACTACATAGGGGTGTCACATTTTCCTCACTTGCAGCTTGACCTCATCAAGGCTCATAGTTAATCCAGAATCAAACACAGATATGATGCATGTAAGGCCTAGTCCAGTGGTGACTCCATACCATGGTATGCCTCCGAACCCATCTATAGAGGATTTTGTCTACTATGTCTCTTCCAATACTAGGTTTCTTTTAATATCATTTATTACAATGTAATTCGATAAAACAACTGAGCTATTAACTTATAGGTATAAAACTACATTCCATAATACTTAAGTTCAAGTTAGCAGTAGACCCAACTAATCCTACAAATCCAACTTAAACCCGTTCACATCTAATGTACAACTAGGGTGGGGTGTCATATCGGAACCTCAAATCCAAACCTGGATAAATAGGTGATTCCTCCTTCCATTGTGGTGCTCAGCCAAGCAAGCCAAGTCAGCCCCTGTATCTAATATCTGTGACATGATGACCAAAATTGACATCATTAAAGGGGAGTTACCAGTTTGATCCCTCCAAAATTTTGCTTGATTATTAAGCAAGTATACATATGGATGTATACATACATATGAAGATACATATGTCATTTCCCATTATTAAGCAAGTATACATGTGAATGGGCACATATAGATGAATATACGCACGCCAAAAGTTTAACAAGCATGATACCATTATATGTACATCACATGTCTATAAAAAGACATACATATTAACCAACAAATCTTTGCAAAACCAAATGAATAGAAATGAGGCTTTAAAAACTAAACGAGAGTTTGTTAGAATCACATATGAACAAAACTTGCAATAACAAGTTAACTATCCTTAATGAAGCTCGATGATGGGAAAGAATCAAGGTAACTACCAAAAAGGGCTTCCTTTTCAAAGAATTAGTAGTTGTGTAGATATATCATAGACATGTACTATCTATAGATGGAATGACATCGTTGAAAAAATACTAAAGCAAGACAAATCCTTATATCATGATTCTTGTTTTACAAATTTTTTAACCCAGAAACGACTAATAAACCGCATAATAAGACTAGGAGGACGTGTAGATAGTTTGAACATGAAACGTCATTTGTTTCATCAAAAAATATAAAAGAGCACAAAAAATGTTATAGTTACCTATACTCGTATGAACAAGCTCATCCAAAATAGAAGAAAAGGTTAAAACATGTACAATTATGGTTGTCTGTGCAAGACCATCTCAGAATTTGCAAACATACTCCTAATTATAAGAGCACTTCAAAATAAAAGAGTATACATCCAGGAAATTTAACAGTGAAATAACAGTCAAAGAAATCAAGAACAACATAGCCAAAATGAATGAACAGAATTCCTTACCTTGCTAACCGCTCCTCAAGCTCTGAGGCCAATAGAGAGTCAGTATGTTTTTCACTCTGCTGATTCTTCAAAGTAGATTTTTCATGACTGTCACTGCCATCTCGTGCTTCTTCTTCCCTTGAATCAAGTCTACCATCCTCGAAATCAGATAGTGTTCTCTCATCCTTTTCGCTTTCTTTAGCTCCAGCTGGCCCCTTCTCTCTGTCCCTTGTTCTTGATCTATCTCGATCAGCTTCCAAGCTTCTATCAATTTCCTTCTGCCTAAAATTCTCCTTAGTCTTCTCCCGTTCCTTATCCCTCACTCTATCCTTTTCTTTCTCCTTCTCTTTTTCTCGATCTTTAGTTTTCTCCCTTTCCCTCTCCCTGTCCTTCACCATGTCGCGGTCCTTCTCTCTTTCCCTATTCTTGTCAGTTCCCTTCTCATGATCTTTCTCCTTTCTTCTTTCTCTTTCTGATTCTCTCTGCACATCTTTCTCATGATCCCTCTCACGGATCTTACTCCTGTCACGATCCCGCTCCTTTCCCCGATCATGTTTTCGGGCCAAATCCCTATCCTTCTCAATCTCACTATCCTTGCCTCGTTCTTTCACTCTACTTATTCCATGATCACTACTTCTGTCATACTCCTGATCATTACTTCGCTCCCTCACCCTATCGTGCTCCCTTCCTCTATCCTTATCCCTGTACTTATCTCGGTCATGTTCCTCCTGACGAAGCCTATCCCTGCTCCTCTCTTTGTCCCGATCTCGGTCCTTGACATGCTCTCTGTCTTTCCCATGCTCCAGTCCTTCTTCTTTCCTTCTGTCCTTGCCACTCTCTGATCTATTCCGATTATCCTTCAAGTCATACCTATCAAAATCTCTCTCTGCGTGCTCCTCATTCTCTTTGTCTTTGGACCTTTCTCTCCCCCTAGACCCATGATCCTTGTCTTCTCGCTTTCCCTTACTTCTGTCCTTGCTTCTGTGCTTTCCTGACTCTCTGGACGTCTCCTTTGCAACATCGTCGATTGCCATATCATCACCCAATTCATCTGCATCATCTCTGGATGTTGCTCCAGCGTCCTCATCCCTCTCCACTCCTATCTCGCCCACCTCCAAATCCATCCTTAAACACTTGACACCTAAAAATAAGAACCCTGTCCGAGAATGCGAAATCGCACCAAAGATTAAATCTTGATGCTGCAAAATGAAACAGGAAGCGGCATAATTATTATAACTGATCAAAACAGGCCAAACAAACTCATCTAAACCCCCAAAAAGATCCAGATTAAACACAAAATATCGAAAAATGAGTAATACGGAACGCATCAATAGGCGATGAAACAAAATCCTTCGGAAGTTGGGATATGACAAAAACCTAGCAAGGAGACAGGTGAGAGGTTGGAGAATCGCAAAGCTTACCTACCAAATCGGAGAACAAGATCGACCGACGAGAAAGTCGACGAGGCTACAGAGAGCGGAACAACAAAACCCTAAGATGGAACCCACGGAAGCGACGGGAAGAGAGGGCGAGCGATCGAAAGCCAGATAAAGAGAAGCTGGAATCGAATCCACATGCCGGTGGAAACCAGGTTCACGGATCCGAGTCTAAAATACCCGAACCCGATTCGAATTCGGCCCACGACTAAATCCGGCGGCTCCTGTCCAATACAGTACGAAGGAACGAAATCCAACCGTCCATATGCGACGAACGCGGACCTTCAAGGCTCCAATCAGGCCTTCACACTAATCTCAAAGCGTGACCAGCGAGGTGCTACAGAGGATTGCTGCTATAGCATTCCAATTCCACCCACTAATAATAATGGTAAATGGTAATAATAATACCTATGTGCTGCCTAAATCACCCTAATTAAATGTTTCTGGTTATTTGTCTGTTAAATTTTGGGTGTCTAAGCATAAAAAAGCTACATAATGGTATAAATAAATTTTAGTTAATAATTTTTTAAATAATATTTTTTTAAAAAATAATCATTTTATACAAAAATAAAGTTGTTTAATGTTTTATGGCTTTGAATAAATTTCAAATGTATCATATAGACATGGAAAGTAGCAAAATATAATACATATTGTAAAGAAGGACTTCATAGGCTTAGTGATGGACATAAATCAAACATCATGTATAAAAATGCCCAAAAAATGATAGTTAGAGGAATACTATTCATGTTGTAAGAGTGGACTAATAATGAAAGCAAACATGGCATAAAATGCTGAAAGCAATAGTAAATTGGGTATATGACAATCACATGATTTGAGTATATGACATCAGTTATAGACTCATTTATTCTGATATAAAAATTATTTATAATATTTATTATATATGTTATTGGAAATATTTTTAAAATTTTATAAATATATTCTTGGTAATTATATTAATTATATTTTCATTACATCCCTTGAGATAATACCTTTTTAGGCTCTATAAATAGATTCCTAAATAATTTTTATTGAGGTAAATAAGAAATGTTCTTGCTTTATTTTTTTTTCTAGTTATATATATAATTTTTATTCGATTCATAAAAAGAGACTAGTCAACTTATTTCATGATCATAGTCAAGTTATTTAATTTTTATACGTTGAGATGAGATTTTTGACTTAAAATAATATTTTTTTATCATCAGATTTTTTAAATATTATTTTATTTTAATATGATATTTAATGTATTTATTATTTTTAAATTAAAAAAAATCCATAACCCTATTTTTATCCCAACATATTCGTCACCTTTACTTTCTTTCATATACTTGTTCGTAGTTACGATAAGATAATTCACATTATTCATCAACAATAGGTGGACGAAAAGAAGAGGTATCGTTTAGGAGTTGTTCTGATCTGTTCATATAAATCTACTAATCTTCCTTTGTTAAGGAAGACTAGCATTGTGTTTCTTCCTCTATACCTCGAGATTTATTTTATTTTATTTTTTTTTAGAAGAAATCTTCTTTTGCTTAATGGGTTTGAAGCTGACTGTCATCAAAGGTTTTAAAACAAAAAAACAAAAAAAAAATCTTAGTGCAGAGGATATGAATTCTTCCGCAAAAAAAAAAAAAAAGTTTTGGTACTAATTGAATCTCTTGGATGATGAAATTAATTATAAATTGTTTAATCTAATATAGATATTGAGAAAGATACGCAGGATTAACTACGATAGCAGTAAGACATAAAGCATATGTTGTACTGGAGTCAAGATCGAGATCTCGTTGGGAGTTCAAGAGTTCGTCGGAAGTCCGGACACTCGTCGGAAGTTCTGCCGGAACGAACCGAGAAGTGTAGGAGCTTACCGGGAGTCCGTCGGAATATTACCGAGAATTCGTCAAAAGATCGTCGGAAGAGCAATTGACATACCGGAATAAGAGTGTTTTGATTATGTCTTAGTTATTATAGTTAGATAGTAGATTAAGTTAGAATTGAGAGGTAATCTCACTAACTTAATTAGGGGCCAACTGGGCCCTTAACAGGGCTGAATTGAGCCTGATTGAACAGGTCATTCAGCCCCTGAAAACATGGCCGGTGGTGCCACCGCCTGGTGACCCAATCCGCCAGGTGGTTTGGGCGATGGTAACGCCGACAGTTAATACTGCCAGCGTGGTATCGCCCCTGTAAGGTGGTGGTACTGCCAAAGCTCGGTCTCTAAGCTTTGTCAAGCGGTGGTACCGCACAGTATCAGAATGTAGGTGATAGTACCGCCCAATGATAGCGGTGATACCGCCAGTACCCTGAAATCCAGGGATGCAACACTTTTTGGCTCCAATTTTGAAGCCATTTGGACCTATAAAAACCTCACTCTTTTCTGCATGAAAGGGCACGAAAGTATTGGTATAATCTTGAGTCTTTGAAGTATTAAAGAGTTGTAAAAGTGCTAGAGTCCTCCTCCTCCTTTTCTAAGTGTTGAGATCATTCAAGAGATGTATGAGACTTGTAAGGGTTCTATCCTAAACCCATAAAAAGGAGAAAGCGATGTAAAGAGGTAGTTGGTCTTCGCCTATTGAAGGAAGGCTATTAGTGGACGCCGGTGATCTCGACGGAGGAGGAATCCGAAAGTGGATGTAAGTCACAATTATTGAACCACTCTAAATTCTGGTTTGCGTTTCGTTTGTACAATTTACATTAGTGCAAACTTCCTTAATCTTCTCTTTGCACTTTTAAGAAAGTTTTTAAGTTCAATTTCTCTCCGAAACGGATTGAATTGAAATAAATATTTTTCAAAATCAATGCTTTTCTTCGCTGCACTAATCCACACCCCCCCCTCTTAGTGTCGCTCTTAATCCTAACAATTAGTATCAGAGCTCGGTTCACTCTCATTTAATTTAAAACTCAAGAGAGATGACATTTGCCGGCAACCAAGAGGGTCATTCAATTATACGTTTGTCTTGTTCAATAGGACGGATTACACATATTGGAAGACTAAAATAAGGATCTTCTTAATTTCAATAGATTTTGAATTATAGAATATTATAAAAAATAGGTTTTAAAAGTCTTCTATTCCAATGAACGATTGGAATGATCTGGAGAAGAAGACTTTCGCTTTAAACGCTAAGACTATGAATGCCTTATTTTGTGCTTTAGATAAAAATGAGTTCAATCGTGTGTCTATTTGTGAAACGACTTTTGATATTTGGCACATACTCGAAGTGACTCACGAAGGCACTAGTAGAGTAAAGGAGCCAAACATTAATCTTTTAGTGCACACTTATGAGTTGTTTCAGATGAAACCGAGTGAGACCATTGGAGACATGTATATCCGATTTACGGATGTTGTCAATGGTCTAAACGGACTTGGTAAAAGTTTCTCGAATTTTGAACTTGTTAATAAAATTTTAAGATCCCTTCCAAAGAGTTGGGACCCTAAAGTAACGGTCATTCAAGAGGCCAAAGACTTAAATAACTTTCCTCTCGAAGAACTAATCGAGTCACTGATGACCTATGAGATGACTTGTAATGCTCATGAAGGACTTGAGAACAACTTTCCAAAGAATAGGAAAGATATGACACTAAGAACTCAAGAAGACCACTTGAAAGAAAATTCGAGTGATGAGGACTTTGATGATGACTTGACACTCTTGACAAGAAAGTTTAAAAAATTTATAAAAAAAAATAAATTTAAAAATGACACTAAAAATAAATTTAAACCCAAGAAAGATCAAGTAATATGCTACGAATGCAAGAAACTGGGATATTACAAGGGCGAATGTCCCCTAACAAAGAAGAAACAACCAAAGAAGAAAAAGGTTCTTAAAGCAACATGAGACGACTCAAGTGCATCCGAAAAAGAGGAGCCAACTAACACCGAGCAAGTTGCTCACTATGCACTAATGACTATTGGAGATGAGGTAACAAGTTCATTAGATGCAAATTTATCTTTCGATGAGTTTTTAAGTGATTTTCATGAATTGTTTGATGAATGTAGAACCTCGAGTAAAAAGTATAACTCTTTGAAAAAGGAACATGTTTCTCTTATTAGCGATTTTGATAAACTAAAAATTAAGCATAATGATAGTTTAGCTCCTTACACAAAATGCCAAGTAGAAATACTTAGAAAGGAAAACTTGCTACTCAAAGAAACCTTAGAAAAGTTTGAGGTTGGTAGCAAGTCCTTGAACATGATCCTTGCCAATAAGGATCACATTCATAGAAAAGACGGAATCAGATTTGCGAGTAGCTCTCACCAAAATCCAACCACCTTTGTTAAAAGTCATATGTTGCATATTTCATCCCGAAACAAATGTAACTTTTGTTGTAAATTTGGACATATATCTTATCATTGTCCATTTAAGAAATGTAGTCTACACAAATTGATTTGGGTCCCTAAAGGAACCATAAAGAATTGCATGCAAAATGATAAGTTAAGCCGATCGATTTTTGAGACACCCAAGGTCAAATGGGTACCTAAAAATCATCCTTTTTTGTAGAAACGTTTATCATTACAAGCTAGGAGCAAAAGATGGTATCCTGATAGTGGATGCTCAAGGTATATGACCGGAGATCCATCTCAATTCTCTAAGCTCACTAGCATAGACGAAGGATATGTCACCTTCGGAGACAATAACAAGGGTAAAATCATTGGTAAAGGAACCATAGGTAACAAATCCAACTTTTTTATTGAAGATGTATTATTAGTTGATAGCTTAAAGCATAACCTTTTAAACATTAGTCAATTGTGTAATAAAGGATATATCATTAAATTTGAATCCAATGCTTACATTATTGAAAAACCATTAAAAAACACATCTATGATTGCCCTAAAATAAAATAATGTATACACTATCAATATTGATGATCTTTGTAATGAAATATGTTTTTCAGTTTTGAATGATGATACTTGGCTTTGGCATAGAAGATTAGGTCATGCTAGTATGAAACTAATCTCTCAAATCTCATCTAAAGGAGAAATTCCTCACATTAAGTTCATTAAAGACAATGTGTGTGATGTATGTCAACTAGGAAAACAAATAAAAAGTAGTTTTAAATCAAATAACCAAATAAACACCTCTAGACCATTGCAATTGATCCACATGGACTTGT